TGTGTTGAAACGAAAACATATAGCCTCGACTCAAGCCTCCTCAGCTGCTTAATTTTGAGTATATTAAGGAGATTTAGCAATACTACAATATTCCGGACTCGAAGAGTAGCATGATTCGGTCTTACGACGACTTCTATTCGGAATTCTTCAAAATGGCCCTCAACTTTTGAAGAACAATCAGATAGTCTACTCTATTATTGAACGCTGCTACAAAATAATAAGGAGGTGTTCATTTCAGATAAAGTAGAACAGGTATGATTGTTTTGTTTTTCCTCATCAACATCTACTATGCTTTACTGAAGGCCATAAAATGCATAACTGTTCTTTCTGGCAGCAACGCCTACCCCGAACGCAGCTTCTGCGCTGCTGATAGGCTTTCGAGAAACGAAAGGCAAGATAAAAATTGAAACTCTTGGTCACATTATGATGTAAACTCTTTTGATATCTAGAGCGTTTCAGTCTCTTATGTGTTTCAAGGTACAACGTAATGAACCTAGTGTTCTTACTGTAAAGGTACAGCAGCTAGCTTCTCAATGGATCCTGTACGTACTTTGCACTCTTGAAATCCTTTGACTAAGTGATGCTCATGAATTAGCCACACTACATGTAAGGCGTCACATGGTAGTTTACGGACTCAATACGAAAGAGGATGCTGATGATGCAGAAGCATACTACTGCAGGAAGAGCTCGCCAAAATGTCTCTATCTCTTCCGTCGCAGCCACAAAACAGATTGTAAATATTTTATTTCGCAACCATTGTTTTTGCAATCTTTGTTCATTCGCAACCTCCAGGTACGATCCCTCCCTCCACCCCTCCCCCGGTTCCACCTCTAATACGAGCCCCTAGGTCAGACGTGCCTGGCCCCACGCTCAACCCTGGTTGCAAATGCGATGATGCACATCTTTTGGATTGGCCAGACCATTCTGACCACTTTCTTGTAAGAAGCAAAATCCAGGAGATGACTACTTATTGTAAAACCAGAGCCAAAAGAGATCACATCCTAGAGTAGGACAAGATGGCGGGAAAACAGACTATCTTACGGCAAACTGGCCTCAACCTTACACTTTTCCATTCTTTTAATCTGCGCACAAAGGTCACGCAAGCTTTTTGGATTCAAGGGGGAGCGGCAAAGATCTGGTAATTCGCGAGTTACGACCCTTTTTCAAATTGGTACGCTTTCAATCTCGAGACCATTTTAAAGTGCTAGAGAACACGCGTCTACCGTCTGGGGTTGCGCCTTGTCATACAGCATAATAATTCAATTGAGCTATCGAACTCTTTTCGAACGGCGCCATCGGTTTTACCATTTCATCCACTAGTTCTCTCTTGGTTCGTGCAAATGGCCCGCCAATTTCAAAAACATCGATTCGCTTCCTGGTAATTTTCTTTCATTATGACTGTAACATGTCACTCGAAAGAAGTGGGATTTCTTGATCTTCCATGTCCCCACCACACATTTTACAGACTAACTACGACCTGTAAAAAGTTTCCTGAGTTCCATCAGGCTCGATAAAATGCTCTTGCAAATTGCCGATTTTTCGCTTTGAAGTATTTCGTTTTGTGAAAAATGCTTTTCTTAACAGGAAAAATTTTCGCTCAAAAAAATCTCTCTAATGATTTAGGCCCGGTCCCGTAGACTAAGCGGCCCTCAAGGAGACGTCAAAAAGTAAACATAATCCTACTGTGATAATGAGCTAAGACGGTTTGCGTGTGTGTGTGTATGTGCGTATGTGTGTATGTGTGTAGTGTATGTATGTGTGTGTATGCGTGTATGTGTGTAGTGTGTGTATGTCTGTGTATGTGTGTATGTACGTATGTACAGTGACCGCCAAAAAGTTGCGGACAAGCCGCCTTCCTTTTTTCATCGCTCATTTTCGGATGGAAAACAAAGATGAAAAAATGACTGGATTGCATATGGTGATAGAACTCACCAAGTGCTACAACCCACACATTGCGCTTTCTGGAAAACATGTATTATAAAAGTTTTAAAAATTTTTTTCTAAAAAAAGTCCGAAAATGGCCGCGTCACAATGTCGCGGACAATAATTCTTCGAACGCGAAAATTTTCTGTTAGGTCTTTTCTTGGAGCAAAAACAGAAGTTATCCGGGCAGGTAAGCATACTATATCGTAGAGCTCATCGAGGGCAATAATCGGGTAATGGTTCTTTTCGAAAAAAACCCAAGCTTGAATTTTGTTTTCTTTTTTCAGAAAATAACTTTTAATTCCCTTCTTCAAGCCAAATTTCTTCACATAATCTATTCGAGGCATTCCAACAAGGCTGTTCGGATAAAATGGATGCTCTTTGCCATTCTCTATGCATCGGACGTGTACTGGTGAGCTTCTTTGCTGAAAATAGCTCTTGAGAGTGCGTGCACATGACCCCACCTGCACCTCACCGCTGACTTGCACCGCTTTGCAGGCTTGTATCTCAGCCGGCAGTCACTCCACGAGCCTGCATGTAGGCTCATTCGAAAGAGCGTGACTTCCTCTACACGATAGTGTGCAAATAAGTTCAGTTTGAGCAATCCCAGAGATTTGGCGGATGGGGTGAAAAAAGCACAGCCTTAGAGGTGAATGAGTGAAGGCTCCTATCAACACTAGAACGGTTTTAGAGCTCCGAAATGGATCTATTATAAGAAAATTGACGGTTTTGAACTTCCAGGATGAGACTGGTGGCGGAAGAAGCTTTGCTCAATTTCACCTGAAAAATCCTTAGCCTACCACTGAAGCTGCGCTTCATCACCCCATCCGCCAAATCTCTGCTGTTTCTCATACCCAACTCTTTTGCATACCTTCCAGGAGGTCACGCTCTTTCGAATGAGCCTACATGCAGGCTCGTGGAGTGACTGCCGGCTGAGATACAAGCCTGCAAAGCGGTGCAATTCAGGGGTGAGGTGCAGGTGGGGTCATGTGCACACACTGTCAAGAGCCATTTCCAACAAAGAAGCTCACCAGTACACGTCCGATGCATAGAGGATGGCAAAAAGCATCCATATTATCCGAGCAGCCTTGTTGGAATGCCTCGAATAGATTTCCATGTGAAGAAATTTGGCCTGAAGAAGGGAATTAAAAGTTATTTTCTGAAAAAAAGTAAAACAAAATTCAAGCTTGGGTTTTTTTGGAAGGAACCACTACCCGATTGTTGTTCTTGATGGACTCTACAACATAGTATGCTTACCTGTCCGGATAACGTCTTTTTTGCTCCAAAAATGGACCTAACAGAAAATTTTCGCGTTCGAAGAATTATTGTCCGCGACATTGTGACGCGGCCATTTTCGGACTTTTTTTTAGAAAAAGATTTTTAGAACCTTTATAATACACGTTTTCCAGAAAAAGCAATGTGTGGGTTGTAGCTCTTGGTAAGCTCTATGACCACATGCAATCCAATCATTTTTTCATCTTCGTTTTTCATCTGAAAATGAGCGATGAAAAAAGGAAGGCGGCTTGTCCGCAACTTTTTGGCGGTCACTGTATGTATGTATCGTCGAGTCATTTGTAACTTAATATGCGTAGTGCAAACTATACAAGCCAAATGACGAACTGCGAAATTAGAACCTGCTCATTTCCAGTATTTCTCCTTGCTTCCTTGTTTCTTTTGTTTTAGTTGATTACATGTTGGTCAGTAGAACACCTTTCCACATTTTGTTCAGCTAGAAAATGTTTCACTAGGAAGATTAGTATGATTGCCGTCGCTAATAGGGCTTAATGTGCCATCTCACAGTTTAAGCTACGAATGACTCGAGGTTATGTACCAAATGAAGACGAGCGAGCAACTTCTTCGTGAAGCATTTGCAAATGTAGAGACTTGTTTCATTTGCTGCACTTTTGAAAAGTTATAACTTAATTTATTTTATTTAATAAGGCTGAACTATTTTATACAAAAATGATGTCGTCGGAGATTGGGCCTTCTGGCCTCAGTACGACTGGCATCTATGTATGATGATAAAGACGCTCGATGTGCCGATTGGACTAGAAGTCCTTCATCCGAAGCCTTACCGAAATCTCATGCACTCGACAAAAGCGGATTTTCCTGCCAACGATGACCATCAATTAAATATTTTTGTGATGTTCACACGGCCCTAACAATTTGAACAGTTTTTTGAAGACGCCCTGCTACTATATCTGTTCGAAATCTGGTGTTACTGCGTAACCTGTGATTTTCCTATGATTTTTGCATGGCAACAGAACAAAAAGGGGACGGACAAAGTGGTCGTATCTGGGTCGCGTCTAAATTTCTTCGCAGCTATGCAATCTTCTTCGCTGCAATTCCGCTGTGATGCTGCACCGTCTCCCTATCCTGAGAGTTTTGGTCTATTTCGTTGAGTCTCTACTGACGATGAGTTACAAGATTTCAAGCTTAAATCCTAATTTTTGGTTTTCAGAATCGCATCTAAGTTTGCTGGAGTCAAATCATTGCATCCAAATTCTTTCGAGCTCACTGCTTATAAGTGACTGCAGCTTTCTTCTTCAATGTCTCGCACTCTACCACACAATGCTCATTGCAGTTTCTCAGCCTTTCCCCGACTTTCGTAACGATTATTCTAAGTATCTTGCCCATGCACGTTTATGATTTCGTTCACGAAGAGCTAAAATGGTTTTCTTTGTAGGAAAATCTGCGCAAAAGTAAAAACTAAGTTGAACGCAGACATTCTTCACGCTTCAAACAACTTCCCCTGCAAAAAATGTTGTCGCAAACCGGAACTGAATCCAAGTCTGTCATTACAGTCTAAAGCGTTTTCAGTCTGCCATAATGAATGTTACTTCAGTGCATTCACTAAATCATGATCATATACCAAACACTCATGAACTGCAGAAGAAGTTTTTATCTGTTATATAAACTAAATTGTTGTAAGTATCCACTGCTCTTCTTGCTGCATTTATGATGAACGTGTCCGTTCAAACCGCTTACATCCTTCAAGGAAAAGTGAAGAAAGCAATAGTTCTCAGAATTAGAACGTGCAAGAGACAGTCTCAACGCACACTCACAAATGTATCTCTTCTATCAGAACCCATTAGGCTGAGAGAACTGAATCTGACGTCAAGCAATCCTGATCGGCTACAACTTAGCATGTCGCCGCCATGCTGACTCTAGTTGACTGAAGTATCTCTCCGTGGTGCAGTGACGATCTTGAACTGTAACAGATATAGTCTGAGTGGTAGCTCGCTGATTTCGGCAGCACACATATCCCAAAGAGCATTGCAGTAAGCGTTGTAGCCCCCCGGTTGCTGCTAGAGAAAACCAAACAACAGCAGCAAAGGATCTAAACTGGAACTTATCTGAAATCATATGAACGCTGCATACGCAAAAGTTTCACTAAGTTTTTTTTTTCACTACAGTTTTGAAACTATCGGCTTATGCAAGAAACCCACAATGCTTGGTAGACGTTCCAAAAAGCATAAGTGAGTTGGTAAAGAGGTTTTTCTTCGCCAAACACTAGAAAAGCAGTTCCAACTATGAGGCAGCTGCATACAGTATAAAGAAATAAAGCAATCGATGCGTAAGTCAGCATCTGAAAGTTCGAGAATTACACCTTAATCCTATGCACGCGTTGTAAGACAGCTCAATGATTTGGCATCGCTTGTAACATTGTGCCAGGGTTAAGCAATCATAGCGGCTGAGCGCTTCCACAAAAGCATCTTCTGCCTTTCATACGACGTCACTCAATATCGAGGGTTATGTCTTTGCATTGATGACGAGTGGCGTAGTGGTATGAGGCGCCGCTGTAACCGTTCGGACCCATGTACGATCCCGCTTTTGGGCCAACTAAGCCCTTTACCCTCCGGAACCGATAAATCGGTACCAAAGTAACCTGGGAGCATAAAAGCACTGATTTGGCTGGCTCCCAAGTCAGTGTAAAAGGTTCGCACGCATTCATTAGCTTCTTAAACTATGGCGTAAAGTGCGTTCGGCAAATGCCCGCAGAGGGTATCAAAGACGCCTAATCTTTGATCCTTCAATCATTACCTTCCTCACACGAACATTCTCTGTCAGCTGAAACTTCATACTCAACGTGTGGTTCAATTTAGAGCGACCAGTCTCATTGGACAGATCGCGAAGTTTTTCTGCGTCGCGCCGAAATACCATTATGATAGAGAATGAAGAAAGCATTGTGATCATCAAACTTATCAGCACGAGTGCAAGTGCGGAGTACAAGCCTATAAAATATATTTTAGATAACTTAGTAACTAGCGAGATTGGAACAAATTTGCAATGGTGATCCTGCCAAGCAGGTCTCTCACAACTTTTAACATTAAGTATCCAAGAAAACTGTTTTTTTTGCATTACAAATACCGGCAAGATTGGCAAACATCCACCTCATCATTTGAAGGATTGCTGACTTTGTGTAAGCGTAGAATGTGTTACATGGTGTTGAACGTAGGTTGGTGCAAAGCTAACTCATACTTTCCAAAGTCATGATGGGACTAGTAATGACTTTGTCAAAACTCTCTATGTAAAGACGCATTTACTAAGAAAATTGCGGGGGCAGGCGGCCATGCGATCTACGGGCGGGCGGGCACCGGAAAAATAGTTCGCAGATTTCTTGCGGTCCGCTTGCAGATATCTGGAAGAATTTTAGCGAAATTTTGGACGAATGCTTGGAGAACAATTGCGGTTTATTCATAGATTAGCTGCGGCGCAGTGGCCGCATTCCAGCGGACTTTCCGCGAGAATATGCAAATTTTTCGTGGGCCGCACGGCCCTTTTTGGAGGACCGCGCAGTCCCCAGGTACTTTCCGCTGAAAGAAAGTACCTCAAACTTGAGTAATTAAACCATCGATGACACCTCTGCCATGTAGAGTCTCACCTTTGCTCGGCGTACGCCCGAAACTGCTCAAAAACCGTCCAAGCGCCAGCTGAAATTTTGACCAGCGCTCGCTGAAAGAGATTATTTGACGAGCGCCTGCAGAAAATTCTGTGTTGCTGCCCGCTGGCAGAGCATTAGACAGTAAAGGAAGTGCCGCCCGCTGAAGGTTTGGCCACGCCCGAAAATTCTGCTGACCGCTTGCAGAAAAGCGCGAGTTTGCGGACCGCCTGCCCCCGGCGATTATCTGAGTACCTGTACTTCAAAAATCCCAAGAACATTATTCAGGTCAAAAAAATCATCATAATTCTCTCCAAATGTGTCTCGCTGTTTTAGTTACGTCCTACGTCCTCTAGTGAATTCACAAGGATGAGATTATTGATGAAGACTCTCACCCAGCATAATCAGCGCGCAGTAGCAAATAGCCAACGATAGTGAACATCCGTTTATTAGGTACGATATCCACGTTCGATCAGTACTCTCGTAGTCGCTGATATAACGCGAAGCGAAAGTTCGTTCAGCTATCACAGATGGTATGAAAGTCATCGCCGTACATATCAATGAGAATCGAATAAAGAAAAGCGAAAACAGCAGTCGATCCAATGACACTAAATGTTAATTTGAGATAATAAGTACGACACTCCCTCTTAGAAAGCAAACATGTCAAATTTCGTATCCTGTATTTACAAGAACAAGACCTTTTCAAAGTAAGTCAATGCTCCTTCTCCACATCACTGCCCTTGCCACTTGCCAGTTTTTCAAAAAGACATACAATACCGCTCATAATTCGTCAAAAAAGTCGCCGGACTGCAGCGCACTCCGCAGTGCGCTGCAGTCCGCCGGAGTACGGCGCAGTCCACTAGAGTGCGGCGGAGTGCGCCGCACATCACTAGAGTCCGTCGGAGTCCGCGTAGCATCGCCCTATCTCGTTTCAGAATGGACGAATTTTGAATCCGAGGACACCGTTCGATTCAGCTCGGCGAGACGCATCATACTTTATGTAGAAGTGCCACAATCTGTCGATTTACTGTAGGCATACGGTAGGCAGTAAGTTTTCGCTCAATTCTGCACATTTTTGTTTGGTTAGATTAGTCAGTGTGCTGAAAACAACATCGCCATTGCTGCTGATGACACATGTACGGATACTGTTGGAATATGGTAAAGAGTTACTTTGAACTTTGATCGATTTGTTCTAAGTCAAGCGCAGGGTATTTCATACGCTGATTGCGGTAATTGCATTCGTTTGATGCTCAAGGCACAGTGCGCAGGGATCTGCGATGTAAGGTCATTTTAGTTGCGTTCACATTGCTTGTTGTTGCTTTCACGTGTTGCTCGTCCTAAACAGAAAGGTCGCATGCCGCACTGGCCATCCGAAGAAACGAAATAGTGTCATCAAGTGCGCCTTGGCGAACTGATTCCTAATCTATTTTCCGAACGGCTCTCTAGTAGAAATCTAAGGCGTCTCCAAACTTCGCAATCAATCAGTCACATCAATTAGCGGCACAAGGACCTTCGTTATTCTAATAGAATTTTTGCTCTTTAGTGAGTACGCACAACATCAATCATCCACAAAAACACATCAACATCATCCACAAAATGAGAACATGAGAACGTGATTTCGTAAGCTCATAATCGTGGGAATAGTGCAGATGAATGCACAGATAAAGTTTATTCCGACTGTACTCTTCACAGAGGCTCCAACTTACAAGAATGCGTAGGCAAGTCCCTCAGCAGACAGGCGAAAAGGGCAGGCAAACTAGCGAGCTTGCGTGACTTAGCTAGATACCGCTCAATGTAACTTTGCAGTAAAATCCTTTCGTGCAGAATAGCTAAGGTTTTCATAAACAGTGGGTCTTAAAACCTTTGTAAGCAAAGTTTCAGGTCGGACAAGATCATTAATATTTCAGGCAAAACCTTTTCAAGAGCGAGGAACGAGAAAAAATCAGATGCCCCGATTCTCCCAGAAAGTCTGCCTATGGGGGTTATCTGACCCGCTAATCATGAAAATCATATCTCATTTGCAAGATAGCTTCTTACTGTAGGGCTACAGTAGGCAGTTTTTTTAGGTGAACATGGATTTCTTCAAAGTTTGCTAGCGATCTAATCCCTCACAGCAAAAGACTTTCTGCGCTTTTCTCTGCTACTAAAAACTAGGGATGCTGCTCTATCGGGTGATGCCTACGGAAGCCCCTCATCTGCAGAAAGCACTGAGTTGCGCTTACATAAACACCCGTCCGCAAAACGGAGGTGAAGACCTCAGTTCAACGCGAAACTCAGCTCAGATGGGCAATATGGCATGCATGTTACAGCACTAACGCAAAATTGCTTTCTACGGTGCTGATGTAGACTTGCGGTAAATTGATAATTCCTGGACCTTGCATACTACCGAAATTCACTGCTCTTTCTCTCGGCTTTGAAGAAAAACTGACTGGTTTTTTATCGAGGATGTTTTAAGGACACAGCTCTACTGAAAAATACTTAATAAACCTTTTGGGTGCAATGTGGCTGCGATATGTTATGGTGAAAACACGTTCTCACGAAAATATTATGCTCACTATACACAGCTAAATCACGTATGCTAAGTAACAACGTCTGTACTCTACAGCATGACGTCATAATAAATATTAGCTACTATGAAACAGGAAATGACATTAAGATCACAACTGTCGACCTTGGTAAAATGCTTATTCAAAGCGTCTTGATAAGGGTGCTACCTTTCCTAACTGCCTGAACGAGTTTCTGAGAGAAGTTATGAGCGGTTGGAAGTACAGAGTCATTGAACTAGCTCTGCATACTACTTTGAAGACCAGTTCGAAAGACCATAATGGGCATGATGTTGTGCGTACTCACTAAAGAGCAAAAATTCTATTAGAATAACGAAGGTCCTTGTGCCGCTAATTGATGTGACTGATTGATTGCGAAGTTTGGAGACGCCTTAGATTTCTACTAGAGAGCCGTTCAGCAGATAAGGAAAATAGATTAGGAATCAGTTCGCCAAGGCGCACTTGATGACACCATTTCGTTTCTTCGGATGGCCAGTGCGGCATGCGACCTTTCTGTTTAGAACGAGCAACACGTGAAAGCAACAACAAGCAATGTGAACGCAACTAAAATGACCTTACATCGCAGATCCCTGCGCACTGTGCCTTGAGCATCAAACGAATGCAATTACCGCAATCAGCGCATGAGATACCCTGCGCTTGACTTAGAACAAATCGATCAAAGTTCAAAGTAACTCTTTACCATATTCCAACAGTATCCGTACATGTGTCATCAGCAGCAATGGCGATGTTGTTTTCAGCACACTGACTAATCTAACCAAACAAAAATGTGCAAAACCGAGCGAAAACTTACTGCCTACTGTATGCCTACAGTAAATCGACAGATTGTGGCACTTCTACATACAGTATGATGCGTCTCGCCGAGCTGAATCAAACGATGTCCTCGGATTCAAAATTCGTCCATTCTGAAACGAGATAGGGCGATGCTACGCGGATTCCGACGGACTCTAGTGATGTGCGGCGCACTCCGCCGCACTCCGGCGGACTGCAGCGCACTCTGGAGGAGTGCGCCGCAGTCCGGCGACTTTTTTGACGAATTATGAGTGGTATTGTATGTCTCAGCGGTAAAGCAACGAACTCAATTTTTTGCTATTTAACTCTCTTAGGCCCCGGACAGACTTCACGCGCTTTGATCGTCGCGATTCTGTCGCCGAGATTTCCATTCATTTTCATTTCACATTCAAAAATTTCGGGCTGGAAAAGTATCACAACCGAAATGCAAGTTGATCGGCATGGAATGATGTTGTAACAGTTGTCTCGTCGCGATTTAGTCGCGACGATCAAATCGCGTGAAGTTTGTCCGGGGCCTTAGGCGATGATGGAAATGCAGTGTCGTCTGTTTGCGCAGCAACCAAGATGTTATAGCTCTTACACGATCGGCGAACGTTTCGACTTTTCCACTTTCGTGAGCCTGGAAAGTCGAATGTATAACTAAACATTCACTCAGAGACCAACATCAGAGCCAAAGATAACGTTCAATGACTAGTACGAAAGCCAAAGTAGATTGACGGACATCCAGAACTCACCTTAGATGACGCAACAGGAGATGCATTAATCACCGAATCTAGGATAAGTACCTCTACTTTTTTTTATAGTGGAACTGTTACCCGAATCATATCAAATCTCAAAGAGACTGATATGGCGCGAGTTATTTAGTCGCTGCGAGACACTCTCGCTTCCAGTTATTATTGGATTCTTGGATCAAAGGCTTCCGATGTCTTGCGCGCTAGCAGTTCGGGCTGGTAGGTCAACATTTCCACTCCACCTTGTACTTCGGCGCTCGTGCTGCACAATGCGATGAATACCTAAAGGTGTTGCTGGTTTCAACTTATGTAACCCGTCCAGGTTCCTTAATGCGTGAGCAAAAGGTCTGTCCCGTTTCTCGTATATACAGGGTGTCCCAAAAGTATGTAAACAATGTTTAATCGTTGACAATTCTCTTCCCTGAGAGTCGTTTGCCTTATTTTAGATACCATTTTGTGGGGCTGGCTTCGACTTAGATTTACAACATGAAGCGAAGCATTGACCATTCTTCATTACAGTGAACTCCAAGAAGGCCTTCAAGCATTAAGGGCGCTATTTAGCTTCAAAAGGAAACCAAACAACGTGAAACTCTCACACTAGGCTATTTAGAGCCGCAAAAATCAAATGAGAACTTTGCATTTTACCGTAATGCTTTCTTTTAAACTTACGCCACGTAATCCGCAATAGCTGTTTTTACAATTCTCCCTATAACTGTGATTACACCATATGAAACCGAACCATTACAAACTCTTGAGAAGTTGAGTAATAAAATCAGCACGCGTTCATTTCCCAGTACCCCACTTTTCAGAATTTCTTGAAACTTTTTTCGAAACACGACTAATTTACAATGATGCTGTTAAGCAAACTGTTCCTACGGTACGGTTTTCTTTCAGTAGGATCGGTCGGTGGTTCGCTTCGTAGTGTAAATCTAAGTTGAAGCCAGCTCTGCAAAATAGTACCTGAAGTTATGCGAAAGATTTTTTTGGGAAGAGAGATATTAACGATTGAGCAGTGTACACATAATTTTGGGACACCCCTATATGTATCACAAGATAAACATGTAGTGACATACACAACTCCGCTCATACGGTCGCCCTTCTTAGTGCATGGACAAATTGTACAATTGGGCGTCAAGCTTGTGCGATCGTATGATCGATCCTAGATCAGTTGTCGTTTCAGATTGAACGGCGGAATATCGGCCACCCTAGTGCTGTCCTGCAAACTCGCCTGATATACGCACCGCAGCACCGCAGTGCTATCATCCGGGACAAATGACAAGAAGAAAATGATTTTTAATAACGTATTTAGGAACGCAAAACAGTGTTTGTGTCTTGTTTGCGACTTGCATTTAACACGTTTCGGACCAGTGCTGCACATAGTGCAGCACGCGCCTTTCAAGGATCTTTTTAGTGTTTGCAGGAGGTTTTCTTCTTGTGCAAGGTTATCGAGTCAAAGGCCTAACCTCCTCCTTTACAAGACTCTGTAAGGCTGTGCCGCCAATATTTGCTTAGAAGATATGAGGACAATTCGAACAACAGTTGCAACGAAGTGCGGCAACGCGAACGAGGCGTGCGACGCCGCAACTTTCGTTTGCTTCCAATTCAAAGAGAAAAACCGTAATTCCAATAATGATATGTATCGTGTACAAAATAGATACTTTTGGATACAATTAGGAACTAAGTTCTTGTTCCTATCTTTCAGTGGAAAGCACGGAAGTCCTTCTCAGGCGACAAAATTCAAACACTTCGAATTCACTCAGAACTTTCGATAGATCTTTCTGACATGCTGATTACAGATGTAGCACACAGTTTACGAATTAAGGTCCCTTTGTTGGCTAACGGCTAAAAGTACCCTCTTTTTCGCCGCGCGCGATTTCGCGGTCCGAAACGTGTATAATTCAATCTCACAACTGGCGTCCAAAAGAGAGGAACCAGAACTGTAAGTGTTCGGAAGGCTGCCAGCTGGCAGCCTTCCGAACACTTACAGTTCTGGTTCCTCTCTTTTGGACGCCAATTGTGAGATTGAATTTTTCGGAGAGTCCGGCATATTCTCAAACCCTATTTGACAGCAATACGGAAAGAAATGCAAAACCACTGAACCCCAGCACATTGGTGTGAGAACATTTGGGGCCCCCGGCTGCTGAGCATCAAAATCTGATCAACTTCCACTTAGGGTGGATGCTGCATTTGAAGTCTTTCTCAAGTACTTTCTCTTAATGTTGTGTTCTTTTTTCTTAGGCCTGCTCACATAGCGAATACAATACTAGATACATAATACAATTTACAATACTAGATGCATCAGTGAAGCAGGCCAAATATATAATCACAAGTGCAGCTGTCAAGCTAGAGGTGAGAGGGAGCGTGGAGGACTAGAAGGCGATCAGTTCTTGCGAGCGGCCTCTTCTTCCCCGTAGATGCGAGCTTTAGGTTGTGCCTGCGACCGTATGTTGTTGGCGCGATTTTATGTCGCTTTTGTTCCACTTTTAAATCTCATCATCATTGCTGTGCCTTTGCACTAACATGTAGTTGCTTTACAAGTGCCTTAGTCGCTTCTCCAGTACGCGTACATTCTATTTTACTTGTTTGTAGTGGCTTATACAGATAAAACTGTGGTGATATTTTCTTGGTTTTCAATCTTCAGACAGAATGCTAAACTAAAATCAGTCTTAAACAAAAAGCACATAATCTTGAGGCGTGTATTAGTAAGTAATTTTGTAGACGTCCGCTTACTAGCTTAAAGGCACCGTCCACCCAAAATGGAGGTTGGCGAGATTGTGATGGCATACTAGTGTGGGCCCCCACACTAGGAAGACCCCAAGCTTCGTCGCAAAAGACTGCTTCTGGAGCGAGTAATCCGCTCCGGAAGTAGCAAAGTAGGCGGGGCGACCAGGGTCGCCCCGCCTACTTTGCTACTTCCGGAGCGGATTACTCGCTCCAGAAGTAGCAAAGCCCACTTGCATGCTTTATCTCGCCTGTGCTTGTTGCAGAGGATTCTCGAAACAGGGATTTTTAGAGGTTTCGCGGATTTTTGACTCCATATCCGGAATCAGGGCCTTCAGAAGGCCTGAAGGCGACATTGAATTCGAGATTTTGGGTGGACGGTGCCTTTAAGGCAGAAGTTTACGCTATGGAATAGCGGCTTATACATCAGCCTTTGAAAAGAGTGTTCGCTACAGACCTTAATCGAAGGTGAAGAAAGCTGTCAAAGATTGATCACTCAGTAAAAGCTTAGGTAGACGTCGATGTAATGACAAGGAAATCATACATATTCAATTTATAGTGACGGGGTACGTGATCTTTACAAGAAAAAGGCAATTAAAAAAAGCAAAGCAGAGTTATAAAAGAAACAGTTACCTGTAGTTTTTAACAGGCCTGTATCGTAAAGAAGCATATAGACTCGTATCATGTTTTGTACAGCGTATATGATGAGGTGGAACTGGAAGAAGAGTGACTTTGATGATATCGACGTAAATTTTTGTCAGTTGCAATTGTCACAGTTACACTGGTACTCAATGATGTTTGAAATTTGGTAAGGCTTCGTAAACCGCAATCTGCAGTATGCTCAATAATCAGGGGTTTCAAACCAAAATTTACCTGGAAGAATTTCGAGACTGCCTCATCTTACAATATACAATTGTCTTTTACTTGAGAAAACTATAGAAAACGGATATGACTCTATTCGCACGTCCTCTTTGGGACCGGTCGTACTTCGCCGAAAGTAGCTCAAAAAAGCCCAAAAAATCCCAAAAGCGCCAGAAAGAGCTGGAACGCTCTATTCCGCGCGCACGTTTTGGTGCTAAGACAAGTGTGCTGATTTCGCAACTGGTATTTTCGGTCCATTTCCTGCCGTCTGCACATCCAAATAATGTCAGAATACTACCGAAAGTTTGTTTCTGCGTTTTGGCTCTTTCTGGCGCTTTCGGGCTTTTTCGGGCTTTTTTGGGCTTTTTGGGGCGCTTCTGGGCTTTTCCCCCACAATGTCGGCCGCCTCAACGTGGCGTGGGGATGACACTGGGTGTCGAACTCTGGCAGGGCTTCCAAGCTTTAAAGGACATTGACGTTTCCGGTTTCGGCCGGATGCCTAGCTAAGAGCCGGCCAGGCCAGATCTCCCGCCGTCTGAATTTTGCCGGTCGCTAGGAGGTCCTCCCCGCTCCAAACCCGGGTCATCGATCGCCCCGTGGATATCAAGAGTCGGCCTAGTGAGTCTGCTCGTGTAGGGGAAATTTTAATCACTCGATCACCAAAACGAAGAGAAATAAACCCTACGGCGGCGAGTGGTAGCAAGAACGATGTCAGTGTACTCAGGGCGCCTTTCGGACTGAACAAAAACGATACGTCTGCCCGGACGACACACCATGGAGACTGCCTCATGCTCTGCACCTTGGGACAATCTCCACAAACGCAGACCTCCACGCTCTTCTCGACGCTGCAGAGCGCATAAAGTACCACGTCATCGCCCTGCATGAAACGAAGTCCAGGAAAAAGGACGTGCGACAGATGATGGGACTCTCATCACTCGTGGCGAAAAAACCTCCACAGAAGACCATTAGCATCATCGACTGCTACTAACTAGCATCAGCACTGACGATTCAGATTTAGATGCTTTCTACAAAGACGAAAAGCAGTCTGCAAACAAGAAAAGCAGAATTGGATCAGCGCCTCAAGCTCTCACTTTTCGTCTGCAACTTGTGGTAATCGGCCGCTTCGACTTCGTGATCCTCCCTTGTCAGTAGTTCCATCCTTCTGCAGTGGCTCCGATCACCGCCTCCTTCGAGCGAATGTACGATTCAGTCGAAAGCTGGGAAAGGTCTGCCACAGTGCCGCAGGAAGGAATTAAGTCGTTTATGACGTAACGATTGGAAGAGCTCATATCAAGTTATGACTGGCCCATCGAGGCGACCCAACGTACGACTACGACCAGCTTCTAAAAGGATTACGAGTTTGCGGAGAGTATGCTTCAGTGACTTCTGAGAAGAACTTGGAGTGCCTTTCAAAGACCACCAAGGAATTGCTCGAAAGAAGAAGATTTCTGGGCAGGATCTGAATGCAACCCATCTCGAGTGACTGATAGCCAATGCCAATTGCAAAACAGCTTTGCAGGAGGATTTCAGGAAGTACAGGCAAGCCAAGATACTGGAAGCGGCAAGAAAGACAAACTCTCAAGAAGTGCCGAGGGGACCTCTGCGATTATCATGTATCGCTGGCTGCACTATCAAACAAAGACGGGACTCCGACTTCTTCCCGATATAAGATAAAATCTATCGCGAAGAACTTCTATACCAACCTCTTCTGCTCATCAACAACCGTGCCGATGCCCGTCGTTCCCATTCGAGAAGTACCACCAAGGATTCTACCGGTTCTTTGGAACTACCGTCATGCCTGCTGAGTGTGCACTACAAATTTTTCACGAAGATTATCCTCGCTCTCATATCTACGACACTAGATGAAACCCAACCTCAAACAAGCTGAATTTCGCAAGGGATTCAGTTGCATCCACATCCAGACGGTTTCGAGTGTCATAGAAGTCTGCCGGGCATACCGACTGCCTCTCGTCCTGACCTTTGTCGACTACGAGAAAGCCTTTGACAGTGTCGAAACCAACGCCATCCTGTCTGCGCTAGTCGATCAAGGAGTGGGACCCAGATTACGTGAGGACGACAGCCGATAGTTACAAGGACTGTGCGACAACGATGCAGCTGTTCCATTGCCTTCCCCCCCCCCTGACCATCCCAATTGGGGAGGGGGGAGGGAGGTCCGACAAGGCGACGCAATTTCGCCGAAGCTGTTCACCGGGCTTTTGCAGTGGACAATGAAGTCACTAAACTGGGACGAAAGAGGCATACGAGTTGATGGGAGATTCCTGTCCAACCTTCGTTTTGCGGACAACATCGTCTTTTTCTCGAGCAGTATCAATGAGAGACGATGCTGAAGGAACTAAACGAATTAGGGAAGAAGATTGGATTGCGAATAAATCGGAAGAAGACTCAGTTCATGAAGAACGCTGTTTGCGATGATGCAGAAATGGAACTGGAAGGCGCTTCCATTATGGTGACGTCTTCTTACGCGTATCTCGGATGATCGACAAACATGGAGAACAACTTGAGGGAAGAACTTAACAGGAAAAGAAGAGCAGCCTGAGCCGCCTTCGGGGCTCTGAGGGAAGCATCGATCAACTGACGGATTCGGAGCTTCGTGCCCACCTTCTCGACTCGACCGTTCCCGGCGCTCTGTTACGCAGCTGAGCCTTGGGCCAACATTGTAGCCACGTCGAAAGCTTTACGGACCACCCACAGAGCGCTCGAGCGCAGTCTTCTGAAGATGACCCGACACAAGCAACATCTAGTCGGACTTCGCTAGGATATGAGAAGAATGTTCCGTCTTCGTGACTCAGCGGAATACGTTGCGAAAATGAAACACCGATGGGCCTGTCACATCATAAGAAGACAGACGACAGATGGACATTAAGAACATCTGAGTGAATTCCTCGCGAAGCCAAACGTTCCCGAGGAAGACCACCAACAAAATGGGCAGACGTGTTCGTGGAACGGATGGACCAGCTGAGAAATCAGCAGGGTACGATTATCGCACCTGGAACTAACTCGCGGACGCAGCCACCGACGGCAACCAAGAAGGTCGTGGATGTCTAAAGCGAGGGACTCGGACAGATGGAAACTTTTGTGCTGAGGCCCGCACGCTACGTGAAGACGCGCCATCTAAGTATCTAAGTAAGTATCTGGGCTTTTCTCGGCGAAGTATGACAGGTCTCTCTCAGTTTCGATTTTGCCCGTGGATTTCGAGATCTCAACTCAACATACTCTCAGATAATCGCCGGGGGCAGCTCAGACAATCGCCGGGGGCAAGCGATCCGCAAACTCTCGTTTTTCTGCAGGCGCTCAGCAAAATTTTGGGGCGAGGCCAAACCTTCAGCGGGCGGCACTTCCTTTACTGTCTAATGTTCTGCCAGCGGGCAGCAACACAGAATTTTCTGGAGGCGCTCGTCAAATAATCTCTTTCAGCGAGCGCTGGTCAAATTTTCAGCTGGCGCTCGGACGGTTTTCAAGCAGTTTCTCAGATAACCGCCGGGGGCAGGCGGCCATACGAAATTTGAGCAAGCGCGCACCGGAAAAATAGTTCGTTGATTTTTTGCGGCCCGCTTGCAGAAATTTGGAAGAAAATTGGCGAAATTAAAGACGAATGCTTGAAGAACAGTCGCGGTTTCTTTATGGATTAGCTGCGGCGCAGTGGCCGCATTCTCGCGGACTTTCCGCGAGAATATGCAAAAATTTCGAGGGCCGCACGATCCTTTGTGGAGGACCGCGCAACCTTCAGGTACTTTCCGCTGAGAGAAAGTACCTCAAACTTGAGTAATTAAACCAACGGTGACACCTCTGCCACACAGAGTCTTACCTGCGCTCGACGTACGCCCGAAAATACCTAAAAAGAGTCCGAGCGCTTGCTGAAAGTTTGGCCAGCGCTCGCTGAAAGATATTATTTGACGAGCGCTCGCAGAAAATTCTGTATTGCTGCCCGCTGGCAGAACGCGGAAGTACCGCCCGCTGAAGGTTAGGCCACGCCCCAAAATTCTGCTGACCGCCTGCAAAAAAGCGCGAGTTTGCGGACCGCCTGCCCCCGGCGATTATCTGAGTTCAGGTGTACGCCGAGCAAAGGTGAGACTCTTCATGGCAGAGAAGTCATCGATGGTTTAATTACTCAAGTTTGAGGTACTTTCTCTCAGCGGAAAGTACCTGGGGGCTGCGCGGCCCTTCATAAAGGACCGTGCGGCCCCCGAAAATTTTGCATATTCTCGCGGAAAGTCCGCGAGAATGCGGCCATGCGCCGCATCTAATCTGCAAGGAAACCGCAGTTGTTCTTCAAGCATTCGTCCAGAATTTCGCTAAAATTCTTCCAAATATCTGCAAGCGGACCGCAAGAAATCAGCGAACTATTTTTCCGGTGCCCGCCTGCCCAAAAATGGCATGGCCGCCTGCCCCAGCGATTATCTGCTCAGGTAACCGCCGGGGGCAGGCGGCCATGCGAATTTTGAGCAAGCGCGCACCGGAAAAATAGTTCGTTGATTTTTTGCCGCCCGCTTGCAGAAATTTGAAAAGTTGGCGAAATTAAAGACGAATGCTTGAAGAACAATCGCGGTTTCTTTATGGATTAGCTGCGGCGCAGTGGCCGCATTCTCGCGGACTTTCCGCGAGAATATGCAAAAATTTCGGTGGCCGCCCGGTCCTTTGTGGAGGACCGCGCAACCCCCAGGTACTTTCCCCTGGGAGAAAGTACCTCAAACTTGAGTAATTGAACCAACGGTGACACCTCTGCCACACAGAGTCTTACCTTCGCTCGACGTACGCCTGAAAATGCTTAAAAAGAGTCCGAGCGCTTGCTGAAAGTTTGGCCAGCGCTCGCTGAAAGAAATTATTTGCCGAGCGCTTGCAAAAAATGCTGTATTGCTGCCCGCTGGCAGAATACGCGACCGTAAAGGAAGTGCCGCCCGCTGAAGGTTTGGCCACGCCCCAAAATTCTGCTGACCGCCTGCAGAAAAGCGCGAGTTCGCGGACCGCCTGCCCCCGGCGATTATCTGAGTGAGAGGCGGTCCGCGAACTCGGGCTTTTCTGCAGGCGGTCAGCAGAATTTTGGGGCGTGGCCAAACCTTCAGCGGGCGGCAATCCTTTACGGTCGCATATTCTGCCAGCGGGCAGCAATACAGCATTTTCTACAAGCGCTCGGTAAATAATTTTCTTCAGCGAGCGCTGGCCAATCTTTCAGCAAGCGCTCGGACTCTTTTTACGCAGTTTCGGGCATACGTCGAGCACAGGTAAGACTCTGTGTGGCAGAGGTGTCACCGTTGGTTTAATTACTTAAGTTTGAGGTACTTTCTTTCAGCGGAAAGTACCTGGGGGCTGCGCGCTCTTTCACAAAGGACCGTGCGGCCCCCAAAAATTTTGCATATTCTCTCGGAAAGTCCGCGAGAATGCGGCCACTGCGCCGCAGCTAATCTATAAGGAAACCGCGATTGTTTTCCAAACATTTGTCCAAAATTTCGCTTAAATTCTTCCAAATATCTGCAAGCGGACCGCAAGAAATCAGCGAACTATTTTTCCGGTGCCCGCCCGCCCATAAATCGCATGGCCGCTTGCCCCCGGCGATTATCTGAGTTGGGGACTATTTAGAATACTAGTTGGCATACTGGACTCCGCCGGCCCTGTCAAAAGGCTATGAGAAGTCCCCATTTCTAAAACCTTTTCCTTTCCCACTACATGCCAGTTCCCTATCCCCATTCAGCAAGCCTACTTACCTACCCCTTCCCCCCCCCCCTCCCCGCTACCAACTCCCACACACTCGCTTACCCCTTGTGTCAACTCCCAGCCCCTTGGTCACACCTTGCAAAAAATCGATAAAAATGAATTACCCTAAAGTCCGTTCAAGTCCGCCTATCAGATAAGTCCACCTATCAGATAATTCCGCAGCAGACCTAGCAGATAAGTCCGCTTTCTTGACAACGAAAGTCTCCCTCGCGCCGCCAAGAGTCCTGCAGAAAGTCCGCTTTCTCATGCTTAGGATAGGCGAAGTTATCTGCTGCGGACTTATCTGATAGAGAATTTGGGAGGACTTATCTGCAAGACTTTTAGCGGAGAGGGCGATTTTTCATCGATTTTTCGTGTCAAACATATAAGTCCGGACTTGTTGTACGGATTTTAGGGTATATCGATTGGTACCAAAAAGTAATCTAATACATTCACCCCACCCCGAATTGTATGTGCGCAAAGTTTGGTCCGGATCGACTCAGAAATGGAATTCTCTATTTGAAACATGCTTACAGACACACCAGACAGACAAACAGACATTCAGCTCTATATACAAGATGTGTGCTTTGATAAAGGGAAAAATTCTCGATTACGTTTTTTTGACCAGTAAAACAGCTGAAATTTAGCTCGAACTTATCTTCGATCTTAAAATTTAAGTGCGGATCTTTATCTCCATACTTCATTGATATGGGCTCAAAAATAGAACTTCGTCCGCTCAAGCTTGGAAATATGTCTTACTGGTTTGTCTCACTATACCTGTGAATTAAGAGGATTTGGTAAGAAAATTTTGCAAATTGTTGCTCTGGAAAGCAAGAAGGTGAATATAAAGTCCTATTTGTTTTGAATCATATTTCTGCAACGAAAGTTCAAAAAACGCTCAACAGTTCAGTGAAATAACGCGAACTGTTCTGATAAAAAGTGTTGCAAAAATATCGATCAAAGGTCACAAATAACAAAATGAGAATCCATAACAAGGTAATGACAGTGGCAAGGAATGCCAAATTTATATAAGAAACTTGTACTGTTTGTGTTTGTCGCTATCTAAAATAGACTCTCTTGTCAGAGCAGTTAAGAAACAATAAGTAAGCGCAAGAATGTCCAAACAACTTTGTTCGAGTGACTTCAACGCTACACAAGATAGCGCTTACCTGCCTCACCTTCTCCATGCAGCGCAAAGCCTTTTTGTTCATTTTCCGTTGGCTGTTCATTTTCTGTTGCTAAAAGTGATAAGACTAAAAAGCTAAGATGACTTTACCATTAAATTTTCACTTTTACGCTTTTTATAATTTAAAAAAATTTTGTGGAAAGTAAGCGGATCTAACTGAGAATGTGCGTCAGGAGAATGCCTTTCTGCACTATAAGGACTTTATGCACATTAGTTCAATACCGTAGGCTTTTCCACTTTGAGTGAGTAATAACTTATTGGACACTTAACCAATCTATCACCAAAGAAAGATTAAGAATATTTGAAGGTTATGCTATGAGTGATGGTGAAGATAATCAGGGGGAATGTACATAAGATTATAGGCCAACAATAGCGCAATATTCAAAGTAGTTGGCTTAATCCAAAAAAAATGTTACATGTTTTCCCAATGAGATAAAAAGTAATGACAATTCACCTGCGCTACCTGTCTGAGATTCCTGTGAAATAATCGCAAAGATTTGCTCAAAGCGGTGATGAGGATTATAGCCGCTGGACACATCGTGATTATAGAGATTAGTTCCAAAGCATACAAAAACTTGAAAATTGACCATGTTGCCAAAGTGTCTTCGCTTGGAAAAATAGCGGGAATAAAAAGCTGTACTCCATTCGACAATACGGCTAACATCCGATCACGAGATGTGCGACACCGTAGAAGATTCGCCTACGATTACGATGTTGTTTATCGGGAGCACAGTATAATTACATAGTCTAGAAACTGAATGGGAGTAAACGATGCGTATACAGAAAGTATGACAAATTACATAATTCCTACCCAAAGATTGCCAGATTTGAGTCGCCTTTATTCAAATCACAGCATAGGCGGGGCACAGGCAAAATCCACAGTCCCGCACTTCAAGCAGCTTTGAAAGTGATTTTGCCCTGGTCTTCTATAATGTCCTCCTACATGTAAAAAAATACATGCTGAACTTAAAACACTGTCTTCTTGCACTAAATAATGGAGGCTGTGTGAAGGGTTGTGCTGAATCGTGCAGATTGTTATCTACTTAGACAATTGCATCGGAAAGTCCGCGGCCATAAATCGTGTTACATGGCGCGTCCGCCCCTTGAAACTTCAGCCTAGGAAGAGTATACTTTTTCTAGGCCTTACAAGCAGGCTAATCGGGCGACTATAGGCGCTTAACGGGCATTTACAGAATGTGCCGGCGGTCACTTATCGGGTTCGATATCGGTTTACCGGGCAACTCGCGCCATGGATGATTGGTGGTTGGGCAAGCACCCGCGAATTTCCCGATGCAATTGCCTGAGTAATGACCCTGCCGAAAAGAAGCTCACACTAGTGTATGCGAGTTAAAGGCAGTGTCTCACCAAAATTCGGCTGTCGCGATGTTTGCATATTGCATGCCTTTTCGTCCCTGTCTAACTCAATGCGTGTCCAAAATCGCATAAAATGCACGAAAACTCGGTATTTTGAAAGCTTCGAGAAGCATGCGGGACTTGCCTAGCCTTCGCCGCAATGGCAGCAACACCATGGAGGCGGACAAGTGGAGGGACATGTTGAAACTCATAAGGCCTAAGGCATACCTCCAGCGATACCGTCGTTACGATTTTCGATCGCTGCGACTATTGAGCATACCCGAAGCGATTTCATAGACGCTCACACACCACGTTGCATTATACGCATTGGAAAATTTGCGCTAAATTATCTGAAGTGCATTTATTCAAGGAAATTCCAACAGAATGAACGCTATATGCAGGGTAAAGCGGGGGGTGCGGCACTCGACCGTCGGATACGACCCCCCCCCTGATTGCTGTCTTAATAAGACCCCCCTCCTAAACTATACACTTAAGATAGTATTACCTGAAGGCTCTGTCAAACATAATGGACAACATATCCATAATTAGCATGTCAAATACCCCCTGTAGACAAAGTGTGAGCGAATTCTGAAGATTCAAGATACTAGGCTACCTAAGTGAAATGGTCAAATTCCAACATGGTTAACTTTGTTTTAAAGGTGAATTAGCTATCCGTTTTTGCACTCAAGACAAAGCACTACTCCTTCTTTGTCCACCTCAGGAATCCCGCTTCAGAAGACCTCCAAACCGTGGAATTAGAAGCCAACCAAAATCTCATTTTTCCCATTTTTCGCTTTTGATGGCTGTGCTTTCACCAAATATTACTCAGAGCTAAGAAGACGAATCAGGCTCAAAACATCCCTATGGAATCTACGAGGTTTAGGCTATCGATTCATATAAATATTGTCCGCTAAAAATGTTTTTTTGATATAGTTAATGGCCTGCGGCACCCCTGCGGCACCCCTGCGGCAGCCGCAGGTTTTGAGGGGGGGTGCCGCAGGCCATTAACTATATCAAAAAAACATTTTTAGCGGACAATATTTATATGAATCGATAGCCTAAACCTCGTAGATTCCATAGGGATGTTTTGAGCCTGATTCGTCTTCTTAGCTCTGAGTAATATTTGGTGAAAGCACAGCCATCAAAAGCGAAAAATGGGAAAAATGAGATTTTGGTTGGCTTCTAATTCCACGGTTTGGAGGTCTTCTGAAGCGGGATTCCTGAGGTGGACAAAGAAGGAGTAGTGCTTTGTCTTGAGTGCAAAAACGGATAGCTAATTCACCTTTAAAACAAAGTTAACCATGTTGGAATTTGACCATTTCACTTAGGTAGCCTAGTATCTTGAATCTTCAGAATTCGCTCACACTTTGTCTACAGGGGTTAATTGACGTGCTAATTATGGATATGATACGAATATCATGTTATCGCTATAATCAGATCACCTAACTACGACCCCCTCCCCTTTTGACTCCTCAATACGACCCCCCTCTGCGGCGTGCCGCACCCCCCGCTTTACCCTGGCTATATGCTTTCAGAGAACATTACATCAAACGAGGAAGGATATGGATCCACATCATCCATCACTCATCCGCATCCAAGTATTTATCAACGTTTTTCTTAGGCCTCGGGCAGACTTCACGCGATTTGATCGTCGCGACTGAATCGCGACGAGACAACTGTTACAACATCATTCCATGCCGATCAACTTGCATTCGGTTGTGATACTTTTCCAGGCCGAAATTTTTGAATGTGAAGTAAAAATGAATGGAAATCTTGGCTTAGATCGCGACGATTAAGTCGCGTGAAGTCTGACCGGGGCCTTACGCGCAAGTTAGCATCTGCAATGAAATCGGCTACTAGTTCTTGAACTTTTGAGTTCACTCATTCAACTACTGGTAGGATATGCGTTACTTCGTTACATTAAGGCCATGCTTTCGGCTCTGCAAAAAACTCTGGGTAGGCATATTTCAACAACGAATGCTGCGCGAGCTGTCTGCCATTCTGCGAACGACTACACATATGTCTAAGCAACCGAGACTGCACAACTAGTGTGCTCCATAATTTGTGACAAGACGTTCGAGATTCGGTCACCATTTACTTGTTATTGATAAACAAGAAAAGTAGAATTTAGTGCATTGCGAGAACAGAAAACGGTAACACAGAGGGTGAAGTGACATATGGAAAGCACTCCATGCTATATACGACGCATGCGTTGTTTTCAATGATTAATAGTATGGAATGTTTGATGACCATCCTTTTTTTAAGCAGAGAGGAAGCACTTGTATGAGATGGTGTAGTTCTATGTGGGATTCGCATTTGCAAAAAAAATACAAAACTTCTCACAAAGAAGAAGCCATCCGAGCGATTCGCTCATCGCTGGTGCAGACCTAGCGACGCGACATCGCTGTCTTTCAGCGAAGTCGCAACGGTATCCCTAGAGTATGCCCGTCCAAAAATGGCCCGCGATTTCGCAGCGTCCATTCAACACAGACGCGGCGGGACTGCGCAGTTGGAAGCGCGTGCGCTGCGGATTCGGAACATATGTCCAAGTTGGAAATCACGACGCGACTGGGACCGCGGGAGATATGCGCTTGGCCTAAGGCGTAAGGTGTAGTTCCCGCAATTCCCTTAAATCGCTATCACGCGACTTGGCGAACTGCCAGACGTCTACAGATTAACCGTGCGCGGGTCTAATGCATAAACGCGTAACCTTTGGTAATTTGACGCAAACGCAAGAAGTTTGTCCCAAGCAAGCGCTTTTACGACCAATTACGAGGAGTCGTTAGGCCTAAGGCATACCTCGCGCGATTCTGGTCGCTGGGCGATTTGGCATAACAGAGACTCTTTGTAATTCGTCGTTAATGCGCTTCCTTTGGTTAGGACTTGACCCATTTGCAACAACTTACACAAGCTACCGTAGCCTATGCGTTCAAGAAGCGCGCACGATAAACCTGTAGAAATCTGGCGAATCGCCAAGTCGTTTGAAAGCGGCCGATTTGGCCGAATCGCTTCAGGTATGCCTTAGGTCTTACAATGCCGAATCGCGCTTTGCGGCCACTTTGACAGCAAGGCGTCTTGGCGTCGGCCGCCTGTTCAGGGGCACCTTTGACAGATATGTGAGGACCTGCACTGCCCTAATTTTGGTGGAACACTGCCTTTAACGGAACTTTTGGGACGCATCCCCATGTTTTCTAGGAATGAAGACGAAGTTGAGTACTGCAGCCGTTAGTAGGCATACAACCGTAAAAACTGGACGAGACGATTTAGGGCTACTAACAAGGAATAGAAGGTCGGTCAAAGTGGCCTTTTAGGATGATATGTATAACTTTTTATAGAGCTTAAAACGCTGATTCCAAATCTACCTTTGCTATCTGCAAAGGGCTTCTGGGCGAGAAATTCTGAAGGTTTTTGTGAGTAAAAATTTCAATGCAAGATTAGTATAAAATCAGTTATAATATTTTCACATCGTTAAAATGAGGCAGCGGTGAGCTAGTATATTAAATCCAAAATACTTGTTGCACCGGGTGACCACAATACCAGGCCTTAGAAAAAAGGATGCAACTGATTTTACACTAATCTCGTAGCTCCTCACCCAGAAACCCGCAGCAGATAGCGAGGGCAGATTTGGAATCAGCGTTCTAAGCTCTACAAGAAAGCACACATTTCATTTCAAAAGGCCACTTCGACCAAACTTTCTTCCTTTGTAAGAATATTAGCAAGATAGTTTTGTTCACCTCAAATTTATTTGTACGCCGCACTTTATGAGGGCCAATTACTTCCGGGTGAGACCACTTCTCCCATCGCTCTTGCGGAATTTTCCGAGACCCCTTTTAAGCGATGGAAGCTTTGAGAATTCTCGACGCTTAGAGGTTACCCGGATAAGCAGAAAGCGTGCGATTTTTTGGATCTCTGTATATTGCCGCTTATACAGGGTGTCCCAAAAGTATGCATGCACGTTTAATTGTTAATATCTTTCTTACCAAGAAGTATTTTGCCTTGCTTCAGGCACCATTTTGTAGAGCTGGCTTCAACTTAGATTTTCAGTGTAGAAGGAATCACCTATCTCTCTTCATTACTGTAGGATTATGGTAGAAACTTCAAAGAGGTTTTGAGCCTTAAAAGGCCATATTTTTCCTCAGAAAAAAAGCAAAACGGCCTGAAAACTTTTAGACTAGGCTAATTAGAATTGCTGATTCTAACTATAAATTTCCCAATTTATTATGATGCTTCATTGGAGAGTTATGCCAGGTAAGAAGTAGCGGCTTTTTTTTCAATGTTCCTAAAAAGTGCGGTTACACCGTTTAGAAAGCTTCGCAATCTTGTGAATAGTTAAGTATTGAACTCAGCGTCCATACCCTATTACACAAGTTTTCACATTTTTTGAAGAATTTTGAAATGGAAGCTTTTTCCACATTGACACCATATGTCACAAGTTCCTACCGTAATCCTACAGTAATGAAGAGCGGTCGGTGGTTATCTCCATACTGTAACGCTAAGTTGAAGCCATCTCTACAAAATGGTACCTGAAGCAAGGTGAAAGACTTCTTGGGAAGAGAGATATTAACGATCAAACAGTGCATACATACTTTTGGGACACCCTGTATTTATTGTTTTAGGTTGTCCCGAAAGTTCTGTCCGTTCAAACCACTATAAAACCACGCACAATTAAGAGTTTCAACATGCATTCGACGCAGCTTTTCCTTCTCTTTCTTAAGAATACATTTTCGATCCACAAACTTCTATGCTTTTTTTTGATAATTGCCAAAATTCTCCAACCAACATTTTATCTGCTCAAAGTTAAGCTAATTTTTTAAAAATTTCTTCCGAAATTTCGGAAAGGGTTAAGTATGGATCAAATAGAGCAATTCTCGGGCTAAAGGCAATATTTTTTTGATTCTCCTAATCTGCTGATTTCAGCTTCAGAAAATTATTTCCTCGGAGGCCTCGATTTTTGACAAAGTCATGAAACACGCAAATGCAGCAAATACACGGCTTTTGAGGTTTTTGCGAATTGAAAAGCAATTCTTATTGAACATTATTTATGCAACATAACCAAGTTTGATTTGCTTTGAAAAAGCAGCTTTTGGAATTCTCGGTACTTTTACGTGGTAAACGTAATCAAAAAGCCGCGATTTTTAATAAATGAATAATCATAACGGACTTGGTAAACGTGGGCCATGTAATCGAAAATGTAGTCAAAGGCTTGCTCTACATGACAGTTACCAGCGCTCCTTCAAAACATCAAATTTTATAAATTTTTAAAATTCGGGAAAGATTTGGCGTTACTGCTTAGCTGCTCGAAAAGCCATGGCGATAACATTGCAAGGATAGGGTAGATCAGAGAACAAATACAGCTGTAAGAAGAGGATAAAAATCTAAATCAAATGGTATCTAAGTCGTCCATGGATTGGTGCTCTGCGAGTTTTAGTGAGAGATGAAAAAAACGGACAAGACTTTCGGGACACAACCTAATATATTGCTGGTTATATATCACGAGCTGCCGCTACAAATTTTCCAAGTACCGTGCTCATGCACGTTTTTGACATCGTTCGGGAAGGCGCTCTATTTGCACGAAATCTGTGCAGTAAGTAGAAAATAAGTTGAGTCGCAAACATTCTCTACGCTTCAAAATAACATTTTCTCTTTGCAAAAAAGGTGTCGCAGGACGGGTATTGAACCCAAGACTGACATGATAATCTGAAGCGTTCTTTCCAGAACTATAATGAATGCCTTGTAGATCCAGTAAAACCCTATTAAATCACCTTAAAACTCACCACCGGCTATCGTGTCCGATCGCTTCCGCTAAAAAAAAGAACGTAGAGAGCAACAAAATCAAAAAAGGAAGGGGAAGGGAAGCAGATCGCCAACAAAAGCTACAGGAAGATGCACATCGAAGATGTGCGCTACGGATATGCGGCGAGGACGTACCTGTGGGAAACTGGTGAGACACACACTATAACGGTCCATCTTGTTTGCTTGCTATGGCACCGTAATCAGGCGAACCAGAATGATTAATGAGGGGTATAATGGATAAAGCAAAACAAGCTTTACTAGCTGGTTCGAGCGCACTATGTTTGATCCACCTGTTTTGCCAAAATTACAAAGTTGTAAATGAACAAAAAATAAAATTGGCTATTCGTTCAAAAACCTTCTACGAAACTTCTGCCGCACTTCCATGCTATCAGCCTCAGACAATCAAATTTAGCTTCCCTCTTTTGGGTTTGCTACAATCGATATTTTTCAAGAACTTGTTCTCAGAAAAGCTTAGTTGCAGTCACACTTAGGAACGTTTGAAGTCTAGAAGCTCGTGTAAGAACGGCCGAGCATTGCTAAAAAACACGATTTTCGTTTGCCCAATCCATAGTCGAAGAAAAAATAGAGCAACTGACTGTCTAGCTAATGTGTGATGTGATAGTATATATGTGTATAGATATGTGCCAAGTAAAAAATTTGTAGGAAGTTTTTGGACGGAGATATAATCAATTCTTTTTCTGAGCATTTAGTCCTTTCTAGATTTTGGTTTCGAAATTCAATGGTTCAAACTTGGCACAACTGATTTCTCTGATTTCAGAGAAATCAGCTGTGCTGTGCGAAAATCGTATCCAGCTGATTTGAGAAATCAGCTGGATTCGATTTTCGCACCTGGAACTCGTGGACGCAGCCACCGACGAGGCCAAGAAGATCGTGGATGTCTGAAGCGAGGGACAGGGATCGATGGGAACTTTTGTGCCCGCACGCCACGACGGGCCATCTAAGTATCTGAGTAAGTAAACTTGGCACAATAGCATGACGCCGGCTTGTAAACAGTATTTTCTTAAGAACGTAGTACTTATTGACGACTACTATCAAAGTAGACTAAAAACTTCTCCGTTGCAAATTTTTCTGCTATATTTTGCGAAATGTTTAAGTCCTCATTTCCGATAACTTTGATGAATGTTATGAATAATTTGTTAGACGGCAATGTTTCCTCGTATTGAACATATCACAGAAGTCAAAATACTTTTTGAATTTTTAAATTGTCAGCTTTTTCATCTCATTGTGCTGGAGTCAACTGAGAGTAGTTTGATAGGCTGGCGGAACATATATGAACGAGTAATCAATGCGTGAAATCTTCAACTATGTGAATAAATAAACTATCTAGCGCGAACCGCATTACTCAATAAATGATTATGCCCTGTGGGATATCTTTCTCGTTGCCGGGGACGACTTCTGCTAATGAAATCAGAATATACAGTACTCGATACTGCTGTGTTCGAAGATGAAGCAGCGAAAGACGATAAAGCAATATGTCCGAATCTCTATGTTTGGTATGCAAACTTGTATGAAAAGAAAAGTTGCCGCTCGGAGATGTACAGTTTGATTAGAGTTTGTTTGCGGAACTTGCGCGAGAATTTAGCGGGCTGCAACATTATAAAAAGGCCTTCTTCCCTCAATCCAAGGTCAATCAACTTTAAGCGCCAGTTCTTTCCACATTCATCTTCTTCTAAGCATAAACAACACTTATCAACCCTTGATTGCTAGTTTCAAGCACTGCAAATATAAGCCTCTCTGTCAAAGTTATTATAAAAATCTGAGTAACAGTGGAGTTCAGACATGGAAGAAAAATGTCCTCCGATGTTGCATCGATCTATCAATCTGGCAGTATTCCTCTCAGGAAGTGCTTTTATCTTTATGGTGAGTGATTAAGGAATTTTTTCCCCGAAACAAGAGCGTAAAAGTTGTTCAGCATAGACTTTCCGCAAAAAGAACGAGGCTTTTCTAGGTTGTTTCAATGCCTCTGTTGTTCAACCTCATGAACAATATTGAAGAAGAATTGATAGAAACTCGTCTGAACTACGAAGAAATGTCCAATCTGATGTGGAAAGACCTGCTCACCGAAGGACAGAGTGCTCGTAGAACTCCAAGACAAGCAACTTGTGAGAATCCTTTGAAAAAATTCAAGGTCTATTCATTATTGTTGTGATTATAGATAGCACTGGCGCTGGGCTAGGCGGTGGAGGCGGTGGTTCTGGTGGAGGCCACGGTGACGGAGCTGGAGCTGGTGGAGATGGCGGCGGTTTTGGTGGAGGCCAACACAGTGGGGGAGCTGGTGACGGTGGAGGCAGCGGTGGAGCTGGTGGAGGCAGTGGTTCTGGTGTAGGCCATGGTGACGGAACTGGATCCGGTGGAGACGGCGGTTTTGGTGGAGGCCAACATGGTGGCGGAGCTGGTGGCGGAGCTGGTGGTGGTGTCGGCGGTGATTCTGGACAATCTAGCGGTAGCGGTGGAGCAGGTGGAGGCAGCGGCTCTGGTGGAACCGGAGGTGGTGGACGCCACTTCGCAGGCGCAGGCGCTCAAGATGGAGGCTCATGCCCACCTGGACCAAAGGGTGCACCAGGAGAAAGGGGAGTACGAGGTAAAATCAAAAGTGCCTGTCTTACATTTTGAGAAGAAAAGCACTTATTCCAGGAATGGATGGTTTGGATGGCAAACCTGGAAAGCCCGGATTTCCCGGTGGTGTTGTTGATGGAATTGCAGCCGACGGCAGCTGCTTGCCTTGTCCAGCTGGACCACCAGGGCTTCCAGGATACAAGGGAATGCGAGGCCCACGAGGGCCAAAAGTGAGCAAATGGGAAATCTGGCATACTAATAGCCTTCCAATATATCTTCTCTTAAGGGAGACAAGGGAGCTCCTGGCTCGGCTGGAAACGACGGATCACCTGGAGAAGCCGGTCCCGAAGGAGATCGTGGCCATCCTGGGGCTGCTGGAGCTCCAGGAGAAAGAGGTCAGTCAATGAACTCCGAAATTTTCGATTTAAAAAATCTCATGAATTCCAGGTCCACCTGGACAAGACGCATTGGCATCCTCCAAAGGAGCACCAGGACCACGTGGAGAGATGGGGCCACCTGGACCACGTGGAGACGAAGGACTTCCTGGAGAGAGAGGAGATGACGCAAGACCTGGTTCACAAGGAGCGCCAGGACCTATGGTAATTTTATATATTCTAACTAGTGATAGAGCACTTTTAGCTCATTGAGTTCAGGGAGCTCCTGGAGAACACGGTCCAGATGGCTTCCCTGGCCTCAGTGGAGGATTTGGTAAAGACGGTGCTGACGCTGAGTATTGTCCATGCCCTGAAAGGTCCAAGAAAGAAGAGGGAGCCGCCGCACAATATGTCACCGGTGCTAATGCCGTCGGCGCCGGAGGAGGCAGCTCTTCATCGGGCTCTAGCCACACAGCTGCCTCAACTCATAGCCCGGCAGGTGGTGGAGCTGTTGGCGGTGGTGCACAGACATCCGGTAGCACCACTGATGGGCACGTAGATGGCAACGGACCTGCTGGAGGTGGTGCACAGACATCCGGTAGCACCAGTGGTGGACACGCAGGTGGCAACGGACTTGTTGGAGGTGGTGCACCCGCTGGTGGAAGTGGAGTCTCTAGTGCAGGATCGCATAGTGCAGGTTCCGGAACTACGGCTCATGTACCTCTCCATAAGATAACTCCCAGTCCCCTTGAAGAGCCTCAAGGAGGCGGAGGCAATGGAGGACAATACGTTGAAAAGGTAGGGGGTTTTATTTGAAGTAGGTCTCCTCTAACCTCCTTGCTTCAGCCTCGCGTCAACAAGGAAGCCCTAGCTCGTTCCCTTCGTAGGAAGCTCGTTCTTCTGTAGTGAAAGCATTGAATGCAGCTCAAACCTTACCAAAGTCGATTGCAATATGTAGAATAAATGAATAAATGATTCTAATAATGGCTGAGGAATGGACATTCATATGTATATCTAGAAGCATTTGTACTAGAGGTTTAAGATTATCCTAGAAAATCCATTTTTTCCAAGCTACACGATGAAAATCGCATAATTTGTAGAAACGTCGAGAACATGCCCCAATCTTTCTGTCCTGAAGGAAGATTTATAATTTTCTTCACAATGTGTCTGAAGGTGCTGTATTTCTTACTAATGGATAATCTCCTGCCTGTGAACCTACTGGGCTCAAAAATAGGAATTCGTTGCAGGATGTCGCCGCAGTGCTGCTTGTGCGCGAGAATCTTCTTCAGTGTTCAAAAAAATGTAACTCGACTGTACCACAATCACGAGGAGTCATGGGATTCGCGCAATAAAACAAGAAAACACTTTTGTTTGCTGCGAACGCTCTTCACAATGTTTGCGGATAGGGCGGACTTGCCATGCGCTTCAGCTCACTGCTCAAACCTCAGCTATCCTCAATATCTCGCTCTCATCATTTTCTTTCTTCCTTCTTACTTGCCATTCTTCTTCATCTATGAAAATTTCCGCATTTGAAAATATTTTCTTCCAGTGACACTGTTAACTCCCGCACTGATCCTGCATAAATTTGAAATCCTTTCCGTGAAATCTAAATCTATAATCGTCTATTACTCAATCCGCTTTCATACTTCTTTGTCCAGTTTAGACATCGAGAATCGACAAAAATCAAAACCAGTGCAGACTAAAATGTGACCAGGTATTTCAAAAAAATTGAATGACCGAATGTCCTTGATATTGGCTTGGTGCTCTTGCTCGTCGGATCAAGCATGCCGATCTTATTTACCTTGTTCTGATGCGACGAGCATCGATTTGCTGAAAGTTATACTTTAGCACAAATCATGTCAAGTAGTGAGATCTCTAAAAAATCTGTGCAGTACTCAAAACTTGTAGGGACTCAGTTTTGAAGGTGCGAGACAGCGAAAGTGATTGTAAGTCCGCAGTCAAAGATTTGTTTACTTTTGAAAAAATTTCTGTTGAGAAACGTCTCCCACTTTTTCAGGAGTTGAATCCGGTCTTTATTCATAAAAACACCTTTGCGCCATATTGGGTTCTGCTCTAATTCAGTGATTCAGAGCTCAAATCAGTTTATAAATATAAATGATGGCTTACGAGGGAAGACTATTTGGTCGAAGCGGAATTTTCATATGAAATGTATACTGTCTTATAGAGCATGGAGCGCTGCTTTCAGATCCGTCTTCGATATCTGCAAAACTCTATTTGGGGGGGGGGGAGTTACGAGAATATTTTGAGGAAAAAATTCAAGGTTTTATTTCACTACGGTAGAGACAGGGTCTTTCAGATGCTCAAAGGGAGTAATAAAGTGAGTTTATTAGGCTGAAGGATTAACTGCACAAAGAAAGTAATCATACCCCCATCTGAGCCTTCACACTGCATTTCTAAACAATTTTATTGCAGCCGCACGTTTCAATTTCTGCTTCACATAATTCCCATAACTCCCCTCCTGAAGGCGCTTTGCAGATTGGAAGCAGATTTGGAATCAGTGTTCCATGCTCTACAAGACATATATGCTTCATATGAAAGTGTCACTTCGATCAAGTATCTTTCCATTGCTAGTCGTTATTCGCCATCAGCTCCCCATTTTAAACAAATCCAATTTCATACTATTATCACATTTGACTATCACATCGGAATAGATAATGGTCAATCGAAGCATGTAATTTTTGCATCCTATATGTTAAAATATTAGTTAGTGCAGAAGGACCACAAAAGCCGATTACACATACTGAGAAGGATTACAACCTTGCATATAGGTATGGATATGAAAACACAGGCTTCAAGACTCGATAGAACGTATTCTTTTTTGTCTCAATTTAGCATTAAGGAATTTCGCTTTTGCATGCGAATGCACAACGAGTTTTTCCTAGCCTTCGTATGGGTATATGAAATATCTGCTTGAAATTCTTCCCTGTACCATATTCTGGTGGGTATGATAGATAGATGTGCACCTACTTATCAAAGTTTGACTGCTGACCTCTTTTTCACAATCTGCGAAGACATTTTTACATCCAACGTGCACTTGCTGAGCCATTTTTTCTTCTCTATTGCATTTTCCAGAAGAATTTGTTAAAATTACGACATCTTTGACGCTTTTATTTGCTAGATCCATCTTGAAAATATAAAGTATACTCGGGTATCTACTCTGCTAAGATTACTGCGATAAAATTTTGAACCGCTAGTTGAAACTATTCATGCACCCTAATCATTTGTGTAAGCTGCCCTACATCTTTCAGTTGAGTCAGCTTTAGCTTATCCTGCGAAAGCTTGAATTTCGATTTTCAGTAATTTGGTCTCCGCAAAACTATACGAACAAATTTAGCGATACTGCATGGAAAAGGCTAAAGAGAGAAGGGTTACGTCAGCAGTGTTCTGAAGTATAGCTGAAAGTAAAAAAATCGGAAGAAATGGGGTGTGGTCGAAAACTGTATCTCAGTGGGAAGTGATCTTAAATAGCTTTCGAATGATCCAACAATCCCTATCATCTTGCAGTTTTGTGATATATATCTGAAACTAAAAATCCAAGCCTTCCGAAAAGCGATCTTAACTTCATGATTTTAGGATAATTCGCATTTTAAGTCTTTTCATCATGAAAGAAAAATGCTGTCTTGGGGTCATAATGCTCAAAATCAAATCAAAATTCAGTAATAGACATTAGTACTATTTCAGTTTTATCTTACAATCTCTTACAGTGATAAAAGCTTCATTTATGCCCTTCAATGCTCGAAAAATTTTTCTTTCTTAATATGTCTGTTTTAACCAAATATTCATCGCAATTCAGTTCTATCTGGCATATTTACTCACATGAATCAGTGAGAAAGTACACCTTCGAACAAGTCTGACATAATCTCATTTTTGTTGACGAATGGCAGAATAATTGATGGCCCTTTTCTCCTCAGCTCTCTAAATCATCTACTTTGAATCATTCAAAGTCTCTTGAATGGCTTACTTTGAAAATTTTCTGAACAAGATACCTCAGTTTCTATAGAACAAGCCTGCCTTTCCGGAACTGCGGAACTGCAAAATCAGGTAACTCCCAGGAATGACAGAGCTAATCCAGAAATCCAAAGACTTTTGGTAAAACCATGATGCAGTACAAAGCGGGCATACTCGAAATCAGCTAATGGACACTTGATTTTTATGATGGTTGCCAATTCAGCGCTAGCGCTAGGACAAGATTAGGGTATCTCGAAGCTGAGCAGTTGATCAGCGTTTTCGGCTTTTCAAAGCAAGAAAATTTATTGCTGACCAAAGCCTACATGAGTTTTGGCAAGACAAATTATCATGATAAAACACGCAAGAGAATTATAGAATGATTAGAATGGGTTATAATATTAGCGTCAGCATCGAACTTGGATTAGTGTAAGATAGAGCACACACATATTGGAATTTTTCACCGTTGTTCTATTTAACTGGAATCACATTATTTCTCTTTTCGAACACTATCGATCCACTGTTTCTAGTTAGATGAGAGGCAACACTGAAACTTCCTAGCACCCTTTACGGGAACGTGTAAAATGTGCCGTTCACTCAAAATCTCTACTTATGTGACTCACCAACTTGAACGATGAATAATTGAGCCGACAATGACAGCAATGATCGGAATAACATGAAGGGGGGGGGCAATAGTCATTGCTACGTTATGGCACTTTCTGAAATAGCACTTATTTACGATTAACAACTTTAAAGTTAACTTTTGCTGAGATCGAAGCTCTCTATTCTGAAACTCTCCCAGTCGCCATTCCATCTTGAGTTGCTGTTTATAGTTATTATCTCAAGACTTAATCACCCTAAATCTCACAGATATGGCCGCCCTACGGATAGGCCCGCCAAAAGCTTGGATTTCCAATTTCAGATTATTTGGTTTTTCATAAAGCGGCAGACCATAGAGCTTACTGTATATAGTACGAAAAAGCTAAAATTCTTAAAGAGCTCTCTCCAAAAATTTTTTGAAAAATTGACTGCTCTTGAGAGTTCACCTATGAGAAGGGGAAGAGCTGAAAGAAAAGAGCCGTTTCGGCAGTGAAGTGAAGTGAAGTGAAGTGAAGGTGTGGATCGAGACCATGGAAATTCATGAAAAAACAAGGCCTGGCCGGCGAGCCCTATAACATCTGAAAGAGCTTTTCGGGTACTTTCGGATGATCTAAAGAAAGCTTGTCTTCTTGCGGTCGCGCACAAACAAAATGTCGATTAAGCAAAAACCAAATATCCGAACTTTCAGTAAAGCGGCCTTATTTGTGAGATTTTAGGGTAACTTCATCTTCTCATGCTTCTTTCCAATAAGGGCCTGTATCAGCCATGCTGAAATTATTTGACCGAAGGCAATTTCTTTGAAAAAAATGTATCGGGTTCTTTGAGAAAGCGAAACAGACAACGGCGTTTATAGGTAGGTAAAGCTACTGACTTATATCTACATTTATGGCCAACAAGCTGGATGATAGCATGATTTTCATTTCCTTCAGCCTATGCCTTGAAGCTTTTGAAAATGATCTAATCCGTACGTTAACCTATTTGCTCTATTGAAGTCGATTACTGCGAGAAAGATTTGAGGATCTCGTAAGTAAAGCGTTATGTTCTTCTCGCTCGAGGCACTTACTTCTAAAAGTTACAATATACTGATGTTACCTGCATTAATTTACCTTATTCAAATCGTATAATTAGTCTACGTGTGCTGCCGTGAATGGGCATGGTCATGATCATTCATGCATGGTAATAACATTCCATTTCATCAATTTGTCAAATTATATCCAGTGTAAATTTGCGTTCAACTTTTATTTTAGGCGCATCAGACTTTTTTATGCGAAAAAATTGCTGCCACTTTCTTTGAATTCTGAAGTCTTGTTCTAATTGGATGGGATTTGACGAACCATAAATGTGTCATTGCGCTGTTTACATTATCATGACTCCTAATGTTTATCTTTGTTGGCATCTGGCCAATTCCTTCAATGCAAGCGCCAGCTCAATAATCCCGCATCAAGAATCAACGGCAGACAAAGTGAAAAGTGTTGAAACGCAATCCTGACTAGTGCGGCGTCGAGAGTCTCGCCGCGTATGTCTGTCGGGAGGGTGTAAAAATAAAAATCACTATGAGAGTTTCGGAGTTGTAACACGGGCGTTTGAAATGTCGCAGTCAGGGGATTATGCGAGCTCTGCGGTCGTAACCGAGTTGACGCCAGCCAGAACGCTAGCGCCAGCCAGCCATTATCCGGCCGTTCGAACATCGTGGCAACACGACGTCACCGCTGAAAATTGCACACATGGATTGATCGGGCGAAAGTGTATCGACGGGGGATCGATGCTGATCCGCTCTCGGTTCGGGGGATATGACGGGGGATTTGTGTGTTCCCCCCCCCCCCCCCCGCCACAGCGAGACTGGCTGGTTGGCGCTGCTACTGCTGCTGGCTGTTGCTGTTGGCGGTGTGGGAGGCGGTGAGAGGAGGGCAACGGACGCGGACGAGGCATGATGGGCCGGGCATCACAGGCGGCGATTCTCATTCTCGACGCCCCCTTAACGGAACACACGGGCTTCACCAGTGTCCACACTAGTTCACACACGGGTTTTGCCATTTCTTGTCGTCGACATCGTCATTGAAGAGAGAATAGCACGTCAGCATGGAGACGGTTACCGTACGTATGGCCAGAAGTGATCGCGGCACTTCTTGGGGTTTTGGTGTCACCGAAGCACCAAATCGCGACGTCATCATCGTCAACGTGAGTTGCGGCCTTTAACACCATTTCGGATATTTTCCCATTTTTTTCGTTTTTTTCTCTAAATAAGGTATTCCATTCATCTGTCCTCTATATTCTTCTGTAGCATCGCCGTTGCTATCTCCTGCCTTACTATCATCTTGCTCCTTATCCAGCTAATCATGATCTTCACTATCCTCATCTAGCTCAATATGTGTGTATCAGCTGTTTTGCCCTTCAACTTGCCTCTGGCTTCCTTTCCTCTTCTAAGGACCAACTTTGAGCATCCTAAATAGAGATTCTCACGTAACCTACAAAGAACATCCTACATTTAGATTTTTTTCTCCGTTGTCTTAGTGTAAGCGGAAATCTTGTCAGCCCACTAAGATAGAAAGGAAGGGTATTTAGTGGAGGGTACTTTTAGCACTTTTCTGCAAATGCTGGACCCAAATCCTATCAGCTAGGTCCTGATATTTGACTTTTCATCTCCTTAGACCCTTTTTCTTAGAAAAAAAACGACCCCCTACTTATTGTAAGCCTAGAAAACTGTTTTCTGGAACTTTCATTTAATTGAGTTCAGAAATTATGATTTTCTTCTTTTACATCGGGTACCGCGTGTACATGTAGTCAATCGAAAATCGATTGATGGGCACTTCGTGCATGACGTTTTGTGTAAGTGCTAAGTGTAAGAAGCGAGCATAGAACTTTGCCGGAGGGCGATATCGATTGCATGCTCAAAAATTACCAAAAAAAGTTCCTCTATTGATTGTGTAATAATGTGAAAGCATTCATGAGCTGCCCCTAGGATGGAAAGAGTCATGTGAGCGATTCTGTACAAGTTGGAACAGCAAGATTGCATTCACCGCTGCTACGTGATTGCTTCAAAATAACATTTCTATCAGAAACTTGAAATAGACGGCTTCATTCTTCCATGCAGTGCAAAACTTAACAACAGGAACGTGTGCATAAGTAGTCTGTCAGGTTACTTTCTTTGTATGAGTACTTTTGAAAATTTTCTAAGCAATATGCGTATGCAACTTGCTAGCGCCTTCTATAGAAAGTAAATATATGTTTTTTGAGTAAAGAATGTAATGACAGAAGCTATACAAAAACGATGTAAGTCCATCATTCCCTTTGCACGCACTTAATTTATCAGCTCTCAACAAGTCACTTATAATATTCAAGACATAATTTTTCTCCTTTTTTTGAACTCTTACCATCTCTAGTATAGGACACGCTTTCAAGAAAAGGGAACCAAGTTTTGTAAACTCAGCTGCTCAAGTCGTATTAGCAGCCATCTTCTGTACCCAATCAGACAACTAACGAACTTCCGCAGAAGGTTTGGGAAAGTTTGCGGAAGTTCCGCTGGGTTATTTGCGGAAGCTCCGTAACGTGCTGTGGAAGTTCCCAGTGAGATGCCGTACTTCCAAAGAATCTAACTGTTGGTGAAACAACATAGTAAGAGACAAGTCCTTAAAAACTGCGGAAGTAGTGGCAGGTCAAAGTGCTGCGAAACTTCTTCGGAATTTTCGCAACGTTTTCTAAAAAGTTCTGCGGAAGTTTCCGCTTTCAACCAGTCTAACGTGAAGATCCTACAAATGTTCTCTTTTTCAGCGTTTCTGGATTTATAACAGTAAATGAAATCCTGCGGAACCCCTGCAAAGTCTTGCAGAAGTTCCGCCGATTTGTCTGAGTGAGAAACTGTGGTTGCTGTTTATGTGAGTAGAAAATTGGAGATTTACAGTCTCTTGTTCATCATAAAACCATAACCAACTTCTTTGTTCCTTTCCTCCCTCTTCTTTTCAAACGTCTTATGTCACCAAGTCAAACGTTTGGAACTTGCCGCATTTCTCTGAAGCTTTCCGGATAATCTTTCAGTAAATCAATACGATTATTGTTGGTACAGCTGTCAAAAGCATAACACCAGCCCTTTTGGAACTTACCATACCTTCATGTAAATTTTTCCTAATCAGAAAGGGGTCAGCAAGGCCCATAAACTATTGTTTCAAAGCTTCAAACCAGTGCAGTTAATTTTTCAATTTTTGTTAAAAATAAGACTGCCGTCTGACCAATGTCGGAACCTATAGTGCAGAGCCCAGCAAGCAAAGAAATAGCAGGAGAAGCTAACAGGCGCTTCCACAAATTGCGGAGGCTACTCGCTTGTCATGTCGGCCACATCTCGCCGGTGTTGAGCAAAGTTCAACATCTTCCAGGATTGAGCGGGTCATCGGGGAGATTAAAGATTGAACCAACAGGTCGCTTAGCAAAAGTGCATGCCAAAGGCACTGCGTGTTGAATCATCTACTGTGAAAGCTGGTCAAAGAGTCCTTGGACTTACCACTTGCAGATCAAAGAGTTGCAAGTTATCTGCTTATATCTTGTTAGCAAAAAACAAGTTTAAGGAAAACTGAACTTTTTGATATTAGGTTGCTCAAAAAGTAAGATCCTTTAATCAATCAAGCTTTTTTGTTTTCCTAGCAGACTTAGGTTTAAAAGAGCGAAGCAAGCTTTACAAACCAAAATCGGAAAAAATTATTACAAAAAACTGCAAACTGCAAGTTTTACATGAAAAACCCGAAAAAAGTGACATTTTTGCATTTTCGGGCCATCTTGATTTTATAACTTTGAGACTCGGGAAAAATTCACCAAATATATTTGCAGTACTATTATGTGTCTATTGTACAATTACCAAGTTGGAAATCCGTAGGAATTTTCTGGAAGGAGATCCTATATTTGGGTACCTGAAAAAATTTTGATTTTTGGCAACAAATTTTACCTGGACTGTGAATCAAGCGGATATTTGATGGTCATTCTGTAGAGCTTGCTTTCCTCTATCAATTACCCTAAGTCTGTTGGGAAGACAAAAGCAGCTTGATTTATTTCAGAAAGAATTTACTTTTGGGACAACCTAGTAGCTCATGTTCGTAATCACTGCTATCGGATGACGTAAGAGCCGCAGTAAGGTGAGAATCGAGATTTAATCTTGTATAGCGCGTGTTTCGTTTTTCGTACTTCGTAGTACTTGGTAACATATCTTTTCATATTCAACTTGATGTTTCTCTTTCCTTCTTCCTTCCGTTTCTACCCATTGCTTTAAAGGCAGCGTCCAGGCAAACCTGGACTTATGGAGCTTTCGCATGGAGTAATCTTGAGGCCCTAATTAAGACTCTGCCCAAGCGGCAGTTCACATAGTGCACTCACGGCTAAGATATTAGGCTCCAAACTATGCTCCGTGACAGTATTTGTAAGCATTCGTAGCGCCTTTGCGCGAGAATCCACGCGATACTGATGTGAGCCCAATATCTTAGCCGTGAGTGCACTATGTGAACTGCCGCTTGGGCAGAGGCTTATTTAGGGCCTCAAGATTACTTTTCCACGTGAGAGCCCCAGAGGTCCAGATTTTCCTGGACGCTGCCTTTGAAAACAATAATGGATGAACGAAATCATACATATCGCTCTTCCCTCAAAATCTTCGACTTCTTTCTTGAGATTTAACACGAATGAGTTAGGTATCGTTCACCTTGCTACCACTTCTTGGTGTTAAATTTCAAGTTAAATTGTAGAAATACTGCATAATAACGCTCTATCACCTCAGAACTGACCTCTCAAACCATTCGAAACGGAAACATGTCATATTTTGGCCTCTTCATATTGGACCTTGGATGAGTAAAAAGATTAAACGTTTTTTTTGAAAATAAGATAATTTGTTAAGATGAGGCTTCCCAGTTTGAACTTTATTTGTCGTCCCTGAAAGCGCGTAAATGTAGTATGTATATGAATCACTGGGAGAACTTTCACCAAATTCAGCTTACAACAAATCCGAAGGTGGAGCAGATCAATTCAAAGAAAACCTTTCGAAAGCTGACCCGTTCTTCTGCTTAAATTCTGCAGCGAATTGGTCTCTTTCTGAGCCAGCTTTGTGAACCCTTGCTGACTATGCTTCGTGAAAAGTAGCTTTTGCAACTTAACGAGCAGATCCCTTTCGAAATTACCACAAGTTGGTAGTACGAGGCACTCCACTTTTCACGGTAAGAAGTCATAATCACAAGTTTTTGTTATGAAAACGGTGTTTTGGGATTGTGAGACTTGCTAGCTATGGATAAGACATCCGTTTTCCTTGTTGATATCTTTTGGTGAAGTTACAATAGTCGCATAGCAGGATTTTTGCAAGAATTAGTAAGAAGAGGTAGAAATTCAATGACCATCCACTCAGACAATTCACCGGTTCCGCAGAACGTTTGGGAAAGCTTCGCTGGGTCACCTGCGGAAGTTTCCAAATGAGGTGCTGCGGCAGTTTCGAAGAATCGAACCACAACAGCTAAAGAGAACACCTAAGCGAGATTCGAACCTTGCTCTATCAGTTGCAAAACTTAATCACTAGCCTCTGCACTACGGATGACATGTTTGGAAATGCACTCTTGGCGAGACAACACCGTAAGGAACAACACATTCACAACAGTGCGGAAGTACTGGCACAAAGTGCTGCGGAACCGCTGATATTTTTCGAAATCACCGCAGCGTTTTGTAAAAAGCCCTGCGGAAGTTCTTGTTTTCAAGCACTCTAAGTTCCCATTTCAATGTTTCCTTTTAGAATAGGCAACAACCTGCGGAACTGCTGCTTTGCTTGCTCTGCAGAATTTCGTGAATTGTCTGAATATGTAAAGAAACACGACGAAACGTTATGTGGCCGTAAATCTGTTTGTTTTCTCGACATTTCTTCTCAGAAGTTATCGAACTCTCTTACAGAAACAAGAATCAAAGCTTGACTATGAGCATGTCGTACACTTTATTTTGCAAATGGGGCATCAGAAATTGATATGAGGAAAAGTAAAAGTGTGACCGAAGTCAGTTGTATGTTACCAAAGAAGGAAAATATTTGTCTTATGGACTTTTTGATTGGTTTGAATGTTTACTCTTTATCTAGAAATCATGTCCTTCAACTTGCTTTTCTGATTGAAACTTGTTCGATCTTGCTCTCAGGTTAGAACTCGATCTTGCTCTCAGGTTGGAACTTGTTGAACGCG